CATTGGCAGGGCAGTATGAGAAGCTGAGAAGTCCTTGACTGCTTGGCAACAACCAAAACATCAGTGTGTTACCAACATCATTCTCATCCTAAATCCATAACCCAGCACTATACCAGCTGCTAGGAAGAAAATTAACTATCCCAGCTGAAACCAGGACAACCCTCAATGCCAGAAGACAACTTAAATGTAGAGTCCTTTCTAGTTGCTACTTTAACAGAAGTTATGGCAATTGGTAGTAATGTCACCTACGGCTCTTCCCCCTGTCACTTAGGGCCTTCTCCTTTGCAAAAGATTGAATTTTAAGGCAATTGTTAAAGTTGTGAACCCTCAGTAATGGCTATGTGATTCACAGTGTTTAACAATAAGCGCTGCTTGCCTTCTGTCAGTTCTTCTTCATTTCCAGCCTAGAGGTTTTTGCTTGCTGATTCCTCTTGGCAGGTGTCAGCAACTAGATGAAGATACTCTTTTTGCTCACCACTGCTCTATTCTTATTTTCTTGTTGCTACTCAGGAACAACATTAAGCAGACTAGAAGTATTTGCATCTAGGTCTGCACAGCTCAAGAAAAGAAAGAGGAGAAGTTCCTCTTCTTCCAAGCAGTTGCATAAGCAGTATTTTAGGGCAATGGGTAGGCCTTGTCTTTTGATGGGCACAGTATTCACTGCGAATACATTTTCACGTTCCTTTAGTCAGATTGCTTTTAATTTCTACAAATCCTTGCTTGCCTGTGTTTCTGATGCCAAGCATTTCAGTCACCTTGTTGTTTGTGTCCATTTATTAGATAAGCTCACCTGTCAGAGAAGGAGCTGACTGAAATAAAATGTTGCTTCCTTGTCTGGATTTCTTTTTGTTTGGGAGTGGGGGTCACTAAGGGAGAAAGACGATGGTTCTTGACTTTTATTATCAGCAGAGACAAATAAGGAGCTATGTACCAGCTGCACGTGTGGAAGTGTTTTTAAGATACCAGGCTTCATTACATGTAAGACAAGAACACTTATGCAGTGTAATGCAAAACTGAGAAATTTGCAGAGTCTTGTTCATTGCTTTAACAGTTTTTCTTTTCAGGTATATTTTAGATAATCCACATGTTGTTAAAGGACGTTCAGTTTTGGATCTTGGAAGTGGATGTGGAGCAACAGCAATAGCCGCTGTGATGAGCGGTGCATCACACGTCCTTGCTAATGACATTGACCCTAGTAAGGCCTTTTTTTTTTTTTTTAATCTTTGTGTAAAGATATTTATTATTTTTTAAAGCACATTTAACACAGACTTGACTTGGCTCCATTTGGGAGAAATTCAGGTTCCACAGTTCTAAGAATGCTAAAAAGATGAATGGATTTTGCCAGTATTATAAGCTGGGTTGTACCAGCCTCTCTTGCACCAAGTATATCTCCATAGCTCCTCAGAATGGACAAACAGCAAAGTTTCTATCGAGAGTTGCCTACGCACCATCATGGCTGGTTTGGAAAAGAACTCTAAGCGCAGGAGGCAAGTTGGCTTCTCTGTAGGACTGTAGCATTTTCCTGCACTTTCATATGTTGGGGCCTAGATTTTGTGTTTTTCCCCCAGACTTTGTTTTCCCATAATTGACTTATGAATTCAGTGTATTCATAATTTAATTACTCAGTGGTTAGGGAGGAAGTATAGGCCTAGATTAAGGCAGTTGGATATTCTGGTTTGATTCTGTGATTGGTTGCCATTGGTATCCGTTCCAGGAATAGTTCTTCCCTGTGTCCTGGTGCAACAAGGATAAAATTCCATCACTTTATGCCAGATTTTGACCCATAATGAAAACTGTGGAAGTCTCTAGCTAAGATAAACAAAAATATTTAAGAGATGCAATTAAAAGATGTGTCAAGGAAATTTGTAAGGGGGGGTGAATGGCAGAATCCCAAACCATAACTTTCATTTTACTTGGAATTTTTCTTCAGTTGCAGGAACGGCAATGATCTTGAACTGTGAACTGAACCACCTGAATCCCTTCCCCATCATCATTAAGAACATCATTAATTCAGAGGCTGGCAACTGGGACCTCATTGTTCTAGGAGATATGTTTTATGATGAACAACTTGCTGATGATCTGCATCACTGGCTGAGGAAATGCATCAGGATTCAGCAAACTGAAGTGCTGATTGGTGACCCTGGCAGGTATCAGTTTTTAAGTCACAGCATTCGCAGTCAATTGCACAAAGTTATAGAATATTCACTTCCTGAGTACACTAGACAAGAAAACAATGGATTAACATCAAGTATCGTCTGGAGTTATCAGCCCTCAAATAGCTTAGAAAACTGTTGAAGCTGGCTTTGTAATGAATTTTGTCTCATTGGTTGGCTTTTTTTTTTAAATATGTAAAATGAAAATGGGAATTAAACTTGGAACATACCTGTTGATGCAAAGGAGATTACTGTACCTTTGCAGTACTGATTTCAGTCATACTGAGGCTTTTGCTCCATTTGAGGTAAAAACTACATGCAAACTGTATTCAAAGGGCCCTGCACTGAAGTGCAAATCCAAAGACAGGTTACACGTAAGAGTTTGTATGCTTGATGTTTTTAAAGTATATTTATGTCTTGCTCTCCAACACTATTGTGAAATGTTCTGGACATCCAGCATACTGCTGTGGGGAGAAGGTGGTGGCTGAAAGATTACTGCACTGCTTTCACAGACTTTTGCAGCTTAGTTGTAGAGAAAATTACTGCTGTCCTTCATAAAACTCTCCGCTAGAATATTAGGTCATATTATGCTCAACTTAAAGTGCCTTGTTCTTTTTCTGGATATCTCTTCTGAATGTCTAACTAATTTCAATCTCCCCCTTCCCCTCTATAATAAAAACTTACTCTTCCTTGAAGCTGCCAGAGTGATTATTTAGGAGTTGCACACAATATGCTTCTTGAACTCTAGCCAAAGTAAAAGGTTTTAGTAAGTGGAAAGTGACTAAATAGTAATAGCTATAGGGTAACTTTATCTCCTAGATAGTAGGGTCAAGTGATCTACATTCCGTAACTCTGCAGGGGTAAAAAAAGGCAATCTATCATCATGGGAAGCTGGTGAGGGATGAAGAAATCTTACATTCTGTTCAGAAACATCACAGAAGGAAACTAAATAACAACAGGGAATGAAAGTCAGGTATAATTATTTTTCTCTTGAGGAGAAGTTGCTGGACAACAAGCTCCAGAATCACTCTCAGCTACATCTGCAAGGAAGAACCCTCTGCAGGTAAATAAATAAATAAAAAAAAATTGATCCACAGGTAAGAGGCTGTAAATGCAGCCATTTGAAGAAGAAACCAATGTTTTCAGAGCAGTCTTGAAAGAACTGTCAACTTTTAGCAGTTAACTATTGAACAAGCAGTGGTGGAACTAACAACTGCAGAATGGAACACAATGCACCTACAACTATCCAAATACCAGGTGATGTGGTAGAAACTTACAGATGTGAAAAAGTATGTGGTTCTCACTCAGAAAAGCATGGTGTTTATGATGTAGGACGTTCAGATGCACATTCAGATGTACATGGTCTAACATATAATTTAACAAGTTTTCATTACTGTCCAAACAGAAGACTTAACAAACTTTAATTTTCAGAACAATATGTGAATATTTTGCTGTGCTTACCCAACAATTTACAACAGTAACAATATCCAAACGATAGAGAATATGAAGTGATAAGTGCATACATCTTCTCCCACTTCACCCAGTGCTTGTAAACATTTGTTGAAAAAGACTGTGATTCAATCTGAACCAAAAAAAATATTCCAGTAGTGTTATGCTAGTAATAAACACATAAGAGAGCAGACTCAAGCTCTTGACAGTAAAGGGTTCAATGTAAGTCACATTAAACTTTCAAACCTAAAAGTACAGTGTTAAATCATTGCAGCGTTGTACAGATTTTTAAGCACAAAGTGAGGATATACCATTAAGTTACACATTTAGAAGAGGCTATAGGAGAAGACAGTAAGTCTACATGCATGTTTAAGGACACAGTGTAAGCTGCATTTGCTTTCAACATGACAAATCCAAGGTTACATTAGCAAGAGGAAAAAGGACAACTTTGCCAGTGAGGTCAGCAGTAGCACTGTCCCACAGATAGACATTTTTTACGTATCCTTTGCTGTTGCAGATTTTGGTGGTCTTCCACCATTAGCTGCTTCAACGTTGTCTTAATTTATAGTTTTCTTTCTGAATGTGGCACTTGAGAGTAATTGGCAACCATCACCACACTATGTTATAGTTACATGTCTTACAGTAACAGACTGAGGGGACTGGGCTTGTTCAGCTTGGAAAAGAGAAAGCTTCAAGGGACCCATGAGTAGCCTCCGGTGAGGAAGTTGTCAGGATGACACGCAGGCTCTTCCAATGAGAAAGGGTGTCAGCTGAACAAAACAGGGTCAAACAGGATAGAAGGAAAACTTTTTTCCATCATGAATACAGTCAAGCAGTGGAACAAGTTGCCTCTAAAGGTTGTGAAGGCTTCTTCAGTCTTCAGTTTTTCAAGCCCTGACTGGATAAAGCCCTGACTAAGCTGGTCTGAGCTATCAACTGACCCTGCTTTGGGCAGGAGGTTAGACTAGAAACCTCCCAAGGCCCCTTCCCACTTGTGTTAGCTTACAATTCTACTTAGGCTTTTTGTGGCATACTTCCTGAAACCAGGGCTGGCAGCCTGATCCTTATGTTTCACTAATTTGACACAATTACTGAGTGTGTAATGCCTAATCAGCTAGATGGATCAATATGAAAAACAGTACAAACCAAATTTATTGCCAACTCATGTCCAAGAGTTCAAAGGAATGATGGGCCCTGACTGATACCAGGGATTCCACAGGGCAAAACAATAAACTACACTTTAGCCAAAAAAGGAAATAAAATGTGGTAGATTAGGTTCTTAAGGCCTCTATCTGGTCCAAGGATTTGCTGCAATTACAGCCTTCAGATGCTAGTTGCTAGTGTAGCAACCAGCTCCTCCTGTCTGCAGGAATGGTTTGTACTGGTGCAGTTATACCTATAGCTATCAGAGGAACACATCCATCACTGGACTAGGCCATGGTACTGCATGCAACAAGAGTTAGGGATTTAGGCACTAGAGTTTGAAAATTATACTTCAGTTACACTTGAACTAGTTTTCTAAATGGACTTGCTCATCTATAAACCATGTAATTAACAGAAGAACAGAGATTATTGTCAGACATCATAATATCCTTTAATATTACATATTTAATATATGTAATATTAAAAGGTGCAACATACATTATCTTCTACGCAATTTGACCTGACCTTTAAATAGATTAGTAGAAGACTGGTTTATTTCTGCAACACTTAAAATGAGTGTGGCTAGACAAATGTTAAATTGTAAAGTAAACATATTCCTTATGGTTCCCTAATCTAATGGGTTTCTAAGTGTCATCAGATCCATGTAAGACCACCCTAGCTAAACCCTGCTACTTCCAGATGCAGAGTATCAACATAGTGTGCTACCTGCCCTGTATAATGCTAAAATTGCTAGCATTTAAAAAAGTTTAATGTAGAAGTCATAGAAGTGTCACTAGAGGTTATGCTGTTTCAAGCAAGCAAATGAACGTGACTTACAACTGTGATGAGAGCACTGCTCCATCATGTAATAAACTCATTCTACATTTCTAATTTTTTTTTTCTTTAATATGACTACAATTGAACAATATATAAATGGTTGTTACTTTCAGCTTCTGGAGGCCACTGGAGATACAACAAACCACATACAGCAGAACACATACTCTGCTGAGCTCTACCATCCTGAGATTCATGTACTCAGACACAAAATTTGGTCCTATTTCACTCACAGCTATGCTTATGAGGACCAATGTTTTGTTCCCTAAAAGGATTTTCATGCAGGAACATAGGCAAAAGCCAGAGTAAATAAGTATTTGTCCATATACAAGCATCTTTTATTGGTCATAGCTACTACTCTGAAGTTTGTTAAGTCACCACAATTATTTCAAAGTAACTACGTGTTTACCTGTTCACAGACTGTACTTTTGGATGTGTAGAAATCCAGCAAGTACTTGATTGTAAATAAAAACAGAAACCTGCAGCAACAGTAACATTAGAAGGAAGGTACCTATGTTTTTTCCTCCAGACTTAGCAAAAGTACATGGTGAAAGAAGACTGTTTGTTACTACTTAAAATACATTTGCACTGCTGTTAACACCACTTCCATTCACTAGTTCTGTCTGTTGACTTTTGTCAGTGTCAACTTTACAGACACTTCTGCATAAGCGTTAATACTATGTTTGGGCTTAGTACTTTTAGTTGCAACTGCCGTCTCAGACTACAAACTCAGAACAGAGACATACTTAAATTGGGTTTGTATATGTAGCCAAAATGCTGAAAGATGCTAAGCAGTCACCAAATCTGATACTGCAAGGAGGCTGAGCGATGACAGTATAATATTAATTATAGTTTAACTTTCCTCTTAATGAAGCATGATCAGTGATGCAAAGAAAGAGAGGACTCCAAGTAGAGACAATGGGAAGCCAAGACTCACAGGCAAGGACTGGAATGGTGATGGAGACCTCTGGTGGGAACAAGGAGTGAAACAATCTGGTGGTACCAAAGTCACCAGCTATTTCTCCAAGAAAGAGAAAGAGCTATCCCATCTGTAAACTTTACACTCATATGTACACAATAAACAATCAGTAAACAGTCCATGTTACTTGCTTGATTTTGTTTGATATGACTAGCTGTTCTAAAACATCTCGGGAACGATCTGCAAAAGAACCAAGGAATTTCTTGTTATTCATTCAGAATATATATAGGTGGTGTTTAGAAAGTAGGTAAACAGCAAAATAATTCAATTACATATCTGCATTTATGCTTATCTTGCTATTATGATATCACACTTCAGATATACCCGTAGTAATTCAAAACCACTCAGTTCTTTCTCCAATCACATAACTGTAAAGCATTGCCAACCAACCAAACTTAAAAAACCCAAGATAGATCATAACCTCTCAAGTTTGTTTTTTTGTTTTGGTTTTTTTTTTTTCCCCAGGCTAACCAGTCCTAGTCCTTTCTACTGTTTCTTGAATGAATGCTGTTCCATACTTTTGGAATACAGTAGAGATTTGAGATGCTAACATTTTTCTGAAGTCTTATCATCAATTTTGGGTCCTCACCAGCGGGGGGGGGGGGGGGTGGTGAGGAAGGAAAGAAAAAATACAAACTCCGAAACAACAAAAAAACCCCTCTCTGCAGGTTGCCATATTTCAAAGCAAAACTTTCACTTTGCTTTTAAAATCTCAGTGCATGATTATTATTCTATCTAGTAAGTTATTATTTGTTTGGGATTATTTACAAAGTATAGTGTGCTTTTCCGGAGAGCAACAAGATACTATTAGGAAGCAATTACTCTTCTTACTCCCTGCATGACTTGACCTACCTGTCACCAATGGGCATCCATGGAACAGAAAAATGTGTATCTTCGGACAACAAGTAAGGACTGCTTCCACAGCAACATCCGTCAGGTTCACACAGCGTTCCATGTGGATCTCCTGTTATGAAAATAGCAGTAACAAAAGTCGGTCAGAGCACCCATAGTTTTGGGGACAGAGCTTTCCTTTGTCCAAACATTTTCAGAGATCCCCACCCAGAAGAAATCATGACCTACACTCCTCTGTGCAGTTGGTTCCACGTGTGGTCCTGTACACACCAAGAAAATACCCTCAGGAAAAACAAGACAGCCTTTCTGTGAAGAGTCAAAACTACAAACATAAACCTGAGCTTTTCCCAAACACATACATCATTCAAGACAACTGAGAAAACTCTTCAGTGAGATTCTGTGGTGTTTGAGTCCCATCGGTTTCCTTATGACACACATGTATTCTCCTAGCATTTTGTTGTTCAGGAGAACAGAACCCAAACTGAGTTCTGGGGTTTCCCAAAACAGGATTTATGAGTGTCTGCTGAAGTTCCTGATATCTATCTATCTACATAGTTCCTAAAAGAAGTCTAAGAATTTCTCCCAAGAGTAGACTAAAACCTGCTCTCTTCTTCATTTCTCTGCAGTTGTATAACTAGTACCTGTTGTATGTGCTAGGGAAATAATAAATTCAGAATAAATTAACATATTATTACCAACTTACCCCCCTTCTCCCCCAAACTGCCTTACATATCAATAAATATAGCATACAAGAAGAAACACAGAAAAGAGACTATCAAATCTAATGAAAATAGGACTTGGGAAAATGTACTTTGTGGATCCTGGGGTAAAAAAATAAAAAACCCCAACAAAACACCACATTGTTTTATTGTGAAAGACTGTCTTTCCAAATGATAAACTCCACGAATCTTGAAAGAGCACAGAAATAAAAAGAATCTTTTGTAATAAATACAACTTTGTACAGAATGATGACACAGAAAACAAGAACTGTATTCAGATATACAAAATATACAAAAGCTCATATATGCATAACTTTTAGTTTATTTTAATAAGTAAAATGTGGAAACTGAATACCTCTGACTAAAATAAAAAGATTTATAAATCTGCCTGCTAGTTATAGTTTGAGAATTTTACGACCCTAGTTTTTCCACTGTGTACCTGACATTAAAATCACTGGCTATAAATTTGCACTTTGGTGATAGGAAACAGAAGTATGAGGATTGTGACACAGACAAGGAAATGAGTTACACTCAAGAAGAATTTCTTTTTCTTACTGCTTGTAAACCGAGACCTAAACCGTTCCAGCTGTTTATACTAATAGAACACAACTTTTTTTAAATTGTCATTGCACACAAAATCAATAAATTTTGCCTTATTAAAACTGCACAGACTGCCCCCCCCAAACCTTCCCCACCCAAAAAAACAAATGCAAAAGCACTTAAATACATGAGTTTCAAGAAAGTGGAAACAAGTACTGAGCACAGGAAAACAAACAAGCAAAATCTGTACCACTATTCAGCCTGGCATGACTGAAATTTCCCATTAGTTCTTCTGAAATCAAAGCCCACCACCACCTCAACATTACATTCTTAAGACCTGCTTCATCTATAAGTGTTCACGTAAGCTACCTAACTTGTTCTTCCCGATCTAACACAGCTTCCACAGGCATCCATGTGCAGCACACACAAAAGAAAGCCTGTGCACTTTCAAAAAAATAGTAACTACAGCAATGTGACCAGGAAACAACAAAGGCCACATTTGGTAAGCTGGAAATTTTTAATAAAAATAAATGGTTTGAAGAAAAAGAGCTTACATACAAGAATATAATTCTCTACGAACTGTGGACAATAATAATACAGAAGAGGGAAGATAATACTGACAGAGTAATTATACAAACATTGCTGGAAAATAGTTCAAAACTCTCTAGGAACTTTACAGAACCCTGCTCTACTCAATAGCAAACCCAAAACTTATTACAATAAACTTCTGAAAACTTATTAAAATATTTGTGTTTTAAGGCATATGTAGTGAAGACTTTTGAGAGTGACCTACTCCAAATGACAGTGATACACACTGCTTTACATTTGTAGGTTGGATACATGAGGTGTCTTATGAAGACTATTTGCATAGTCTCAGGGTTGTTTAGAAAATCTGGAATCAACGTTTTGCTACAGCTAAAGGTGTAATCAGCTAAAAGACAACAATATTTTCAAGTCAATTATAGTATATAAAAAAAGATCTCTCATTGCTATGGTCTGAAAAATAATAATTTTATCGTGTACCACAAGACTTATCAAGGTGAGAAAGATTGTCCAAAATACACAAAAATCAGCTGGAAAAAAGCAAAACCAAACCTAACTGTTCACCCTCCAAATAAACCAATAAAAGTTCTGTTTTTTTTCCAGGTTATTACTACTGTCAGTTGACCTAGATCTGGTATTTTGTTTAGGGTTTGTTTGTTTGTTTTTTTTTTATTAAACACTATAAACTGGCAAAAGTATGACTTGTTTCCCCATCTTAGTTTCTAGAGGATTAGCTTGGACTCAGAACCAGCCTTTATGAAAGCAAAAGCACACAGACAGATAAGAAACGTACTATACAGAAAAGTAGATAATTTATGGTAAGAGGTATGGGATGCCTCTTCTCCATCATTTTATCACTGTCGCAATGCCTAGAGAATCTTTATGTAAAGACAACTTCACTTTTACAACTGCTTTCATGAGTTAGATTTACCTATGCAGAGGTGCTAAGTGATTTCTTAAATCCATGAAAGTATCCACATTACAAATTCTGCCTCAGTGTTCAACAGAATCAAGAAATAACTCCAAAGAAATCAAGGGAAAATGTTAAGCATTCATTTGCATTTAATATACAGCTCTCTAAAACAACGTGAGTTAAAATAAGCATACTACATTCAACAGAAGAAAACTCATTTTGCAAAGACTGAGGTTCTCAAAAAGAGCTGGTCTGCGGCACTGCTACAGAGGCACAGAAAATATTCCATTCATAACCAAAATCAGAGCAAGCGTGTACACAAAGGCAAAAGTCAGTCAATAAAAACCATCCCTCAGAAGTAATACTGATAATTTAAAAATGCAGGTATTTGCTTTTGTTCATTTCTTTGTTATCAGGTTAAGTAAGTTACCTTTAAAGTCTTTGAACACGTTCCACTTACAAGTGCTACAACGCCATCATCTGTTACCTAGAGAAAAACACACATTATTAACACAATGGACTAAAGCTCAATTTTTGCAAACACAGCTATTTGGGGGTGGGGGCGGGGGGGGGGATTAATTTATTCCCATCCTGCGGTCACTGAATATACTTAACATTATAGTATTTTCTTCCCAACTAAGCTTGTAGAGAAAATTATCCAAGTATGGTTTTTGCAGTCTATTAAATGCTGTTGCATTTTACTGCCACGTGATCCAGCCTGGCTTTCTACCGGGATGTTTCCAACCGTGTAACTGCTATTTCTGTAGCCTCCTTGTCTCATTTAACAGTGGCTACACTATTCCGGTCAGAGGATGGCACTTTAATTTATAAGGTTTAAAGCACTTCTGCTCTCCCTAGACCAATTTTTCTCCTGTTTTCAGGATTGCTGGATGTTCCTGAAGGCAGTTTCTTGGGGTGGGGGGGGGGAAGTAATTGTAGCAGTCTTATATGCTGTTTTGCTTCAGGATAAGTAAATCAATTATGTAAGACAAAAATCCCTCAAACAAGCACTCTTACAGCAGTCGTCATACACTCGCACTAAAAGGTTTATTAAAGTGATTGGCTACAGACAGCCACGCAGCAACGATTACCTGCAAGAGAGAGGAGAGAGACAAAAGACATTCTTTTCCTTAGGAACGCAAGAAAGACCAAATTATTCGCTTGCTGCCGGAAACAAAATTCGTTAAGCTTCCTCCCCACTTCAAAAGCTGGACTGGATATCAGATCTGTCACACAGGTTTTTTTCATAAAGCTTACATTAGATGGCAGGAATAGCAGTCATCAACTACACACAGTAAGGCTCAGCTAAATTTGACAGCTAGAAACCAGACAGATCCATGCAGGAACATGAAGGGCTCTAAGAATGGCAAGTATTGTCAGTACCTAGCTTAGCAGGTCACCAAGATGACAGCACATTTAGCTTCTCAAGACAACCAGACTGGGAGACAAAGGGCAGTAAATGAATAGATTCTAATACTCCCATAGCTGGGACAGAATGGAGAGAGTAATCACTGTCAGTTCCTAAAGGGTATAAAATGGCACATCCACAAACCAGTGCATGGTCACCAATCTAAGACCAACCCGAGTAAAGTGATAAAGACTTGACAGCCTGTGTCCCTTATCCTCCATGTCATCAAAATAAACCTGGACCAGACTGCCTGGTTGGTGCCTGAACACTGGAGAGACCATCTGAATGCTATTGTCTTCGTGCTTGTGAGTATGTGGTTATGACAGCATGAGAGCATGAAACCAGCTTTGTATTACAACAAAGTCCCCTCACTTTCCTGGACAAGCTCACAGTAACCACTACTATACTATTACTACAGTACTGATGTAGGAAAAATAAAGGTTAAGACTGTGCAAAGTATATGCCACTTCAAGTATCCTTGACAGTATGTTCTGAAACTACAGTAACAAAGATAGGATCTCTCAATGGACCAAGGATTTAGAACAAAAGGACCCTTCAAAGTATTCTTTCCCTATTGTAAGTATATATAAAATACACTATTTCTTGATACTCTTCCAAGGCTAGGTATATCCACCGCTAATCTGTATTGATTATAATACTAAAATGTACACCCCTCTGTGAATAATGAGCATGCTAATTAGGGGATGTCTGAAACAAAGTAAAATGCGTATGTATGATGAGGGCAAGTAAAAGGTGGCTAAGGATGTTTAAGAACACAAATCAGCTACATTTTACTACTATAAAAAAAGGAATGTTTGATGTATTCAGAGTGCTGGCTGGTATTAGATGCCCGGCACCCTACTCTGCAGACCAGAAATAAAAACAAATATCTCGACTTTGTGTGTGATTGACTCTTTGCCAGGTGAAGAACCCAGATTTGGGACAAGAGTATTGCAGTATTGTTTTCTACTCTATTGAATATCTATGTGCATTGTCTGTAATGCCACAACTGCCCACCCTCATCAAGGGATACACTCTTATACTGGGCATAAACCACCTGCAGTTAGTACCAAGCCACAAATAAATCAGCTTCTTGGTACAGACCAGTTGTTACCTAACTCTGTGTGCATCTCTAGCAGAGGCTTACATGGCTCAGTACCAGCAGTTAAGTACATCAGCAACCCAGCTCTGCTCTACGTGAAAAGTGTCTGGACAGATACAACGGGTAACCCGCACCACTCCTGCTTTTACCAACACATTTTGCAGAGAACTGCCCCATGCCCTATATAGAAACCTGCTGCAGTCTGCACAGCCCTTTCGGGCAAGATTGTTCCCACAATTATTTGCAATACACTGAGTCAATAAACATTAGAGAGGAAATGTACTGTTTAAATAGTGCAGGGATTTGGACTCTTGAGACTGTGTTTCCACCTGTTAACACTGCTGTGATTTAGAGCACACTAGAAGTAGAGCAGTAAGTACAGGGTTTATGTATAAAACCTACCTCCTCACAATGCTAACATAAGCATAGTGATACGTAAACATAAATAAATTTCTTATTTATTACACTGGGCCAGTGTAGCAGAGTTCTTCAGGCCAAGCTTCCACTCACACTCTCTGTGTGCATACAGAGGACACAAAACTACCGCTCCTTCTCAGTTCAATCCATCCCTTGCCTCACCACCCACCCCCCATTCCTGTTATTTTGCACCACTTCTATACCTTCTATTTATTGTACTTCATTTCTGCAGTCACCAGATGAGCCTATTTTTAAAATGGCTATATCACCTTGAGGCATTTGGCCCATCTGTAGTCTAGCTCATGCCTACTTCCTTGTTCCTGCAAGTGAGCTGTGCCCTTCTTTTCCTGTTCATTGACTTCCAACGTTCTCACTGTTTTACTTTTTCGCACAGCTTTGCCAGTTCCACCTGATAATTTTACTATGCATTCTGGCACTTGAACACAAGAATATGGTTAGGCCTTGCAGTCTTTACAGGGATGAGCCATTCATAGTTCCTCTGCTTCATCTTAAATTTATTTCATTTATATCTAATATATGTTTCCATTTATTTTTAGACAAACGAAATTCAGAACTCTAGTGTATTATCACCATACGATTATCAGAAATGAATAAAAGAAGTGTGGAAACGTTTAGTTACTCAAGAAGCTTTCATCTCATTTAAGACCTATACAAGGAAACTCAGTTATTTCCTATAAAGGAAGAGAGGGGCAAGGGAACAAAAAAGTAGTGAAATAAGTTTGAAGAAATAAGTTAAATTATAATAATAAAAATTACCAAAGAAAATATTAACATTACTTTTGATGCCCTACTTCTGGAAAAACTGAAAGAAGAAAAGCATCTAAAATAAGAACCTGCTACATGTTTTCCAGATCTGACACTTCATTACAAATGCTCTGTGCTTGACTCACGTTCAACATAATCACTCACCATCACAGTCAACTGAATGCTATACTTCCTGCAAAAAAATCCTTTCCCTCACTTCATTATCTTACTGTAATTACAAAGTATGTTACCGTATTGCTGTTGCAGCTGATTTCCCCCTTCTCATGCTAAATACGGTTGTTAAATCCTCTTACCTGCCCTTTCTGACACTTTAAATGTCATTCTTTCCGTGTTGACTCCATAAGATAACTCTGACAAGCCATTCAGAAAGCACAGTCACTCTTGAACTAGAACTAATTATGGAGTGTTTACTTCTACTAGGGGCTTATATTGTTTGACATCTTATAGTATTATTATTATTATTCAGGTCAGTTTGTCCTAACTGAAAGCAGACAATAATCTGTTCAAGATTCTACTTTCTTTAAATGAAGTATTTTTGATTACTTCACAACCTGAAAAAAATGACTAAATAAAGATACTGAAAAAAATCTCCAATATTAGGTAGCTTCTAATAAAAGTTTATCTTTGGGCCACAGTACATACTGTAATACCAAAATGTGTATTTTTCTGGTTACCAAGATGCAAAATATATCTTTCCTTTTCATTGAAAGGAGGAAATTGGAAGTGAACCGTGGTCCTAAATCCTGTCAAGAGTATAGCTAAAAAGATCCCCTTTCAATTTTATCATGACAATCTTAAAAAATAACCAAAAAAAGTCAATTAGCCAATTGCCACCATAGTTACCTGAGTAGACGAAAAGTCCACACTGTGAAGAAATTTGCAGTTTTCTCCTAGTGCCTGCAGAGATGCATCCATGATGCCTGAACAGCTGCCCAAGTTCACTATTTGTAGGAATTGGCAGTTGAGCGCAAGTGCAAGAACTCCACTGTCAGTTATATCACAGCACCTTTTAAAAGACGCTTCACGCAAGTAAGGACAGGATAAGGCCAGTGCTATGACACCTGTCAAAGAAACAGAGTAATTTAAAAAATTATTCATTTTTTAACATAACCACCATGCTGAATCCAATGTGCTGTCCCCTGATCACTGACTGATCAACTTTCACCTCATGCCATGCCAGTAAGACTCTGTACAAGGAAATAATTTTGTGGCTGGTTTCTTTTAATGCAAGGATGAGAAAAAGAAAATGACAACCAAGATAAAAATTTCTAAATGCTGAATTCCCCTCCATACTGCAGAGGGATATCTGTGGGATATTATATATATGAGGTATCACCTCAGTGAGTACATGAAAAAAAGCTAGTGGCTGGAGAGCAGACTGATGATAGTGCTAGGTCCCACTGTTGGTGCAGTGAGTATCAGGCAAAAAGCAAGGTAAGAAGTAATGTCCATTTGATTTCAAGAAATCAAAACAATAGTTCAGAAGCAGGACAGGAACCAGGTACACCTACGACACAGCTCAGGCCAGGACTGAAGGTCCATGGGCAGCTGGTGTAGGTGGGCATGACAGGTGAGACCAGTCACGGCCATTAGGGTCTGTTGGTGCCCTCTGAGCCCTGATAGTAATAACGAAAAATTTTGCACAGAAGTGTAAGGAGGCAGTCAATAAAATAAAAGTACGTGAACTACAGATACAATTAATGAAAGGGATTTATTTCAAGGATGATGGAAACATGATGATTACAGTGGTACAGAAAATTACATCACTTCTGGATAGACAGAAATAAAAAGCTGAATGACATTAAGATATGTTATTATGTAAGAACTTCAAAGAAACACACATAAAATAGTACTTGCTTGCGTCAGAATCACTTTGCAAAGAATGACAGAAGAGACAGTAGTGATAGTTGAACTTGACAGAGAAGTACTACTGGATATCGCATTAAAGGACACTAAACGTTCCACATGCAAACTAGAAAGCAAATATTTCCTAGTAATGACAGGGCTCAGATATTTCTGGATGTGGTAGCCAGCAGGTTTCTTTACAAACAAAGAAAAACCGAACACCCAAACAAACCAACAAAAAAACCCCCACATGTTACTGAATTAGTAAAAGGTAACACTACTTTAAAATGGGGTAGTTTAGGGTCTTTTTTTCCCTGTAACTGAGATGAGTGATAAAGAACTGTTCCAGCTTAAATTAAAGGCTTCATAACTGATCCTTAGTTTAAAAAGGGCTCAGTTTATAAGTTGGAAGGTTACTGAAGTTGGATTGACTAAGGACTTGCCAATAAAGAACCAGACTTCCCAGTTTTAACTGCAAAGTAATCAGGAAACTCTATCCAAATAGATGAAAAGCATAAAGAGCTCTAGGCTTAGCTGGTACTGTAAGAACTAGGACCAGAAATCAGTGGACAGATGAAGGCATGGATGTAAGACCATCACAAACTCTATCTTAGGGGTCGAAGAATATAACAATGAGGCAACATTGAAAATAAATAAAATATTTTTTTTAAAAGTTTAACCAATTGCTTAAGTAAAAAGATAAATGTATCTATGCAGTGGTAAGAAAATACAAACCAAGACTATCTAAAGTATGATATACATTAACTTAATACTAAATTAATATTTTGCCTCAATTTTCAATAAGGATGAGTTAATGATGGAGCAAAGGAGTAAGTGTAATCAAAAGACAAAATAAAACTTGTGGGGAATAAAATTCAGCAAGCTTAATTCTTTTAAGCTAACAGCTCCTGATACAACTTGAAATTGGAGGTTAAAAGTAACACCTGAAATCCTAAGGTCCTAAAGCATGTCAAGTCTTAAGTCAGAGAAGATGCTATAAGCTTATTAAATAAACAAATACATTTAATTTAAAAGGGGGAAAAAAGTAATTTAGGAAATCACAAGCCTGAAACTTCAACCCCAGTGGTACTGGTAAGGCTCTGGAACAAGTTTTCAGGATGGAATAATTAAGATGAAGTGGAAAATACCATCAAATGTAGCATAGTTTTACCAGAAACCTAGCACGAGAGTAACCCGATAGCTCTCTTTCATAAGATAATCAGTGCTCTAGGCCTATAATTTACACCACTGAAGTGACTTTTAATTAGTACTGGTGTGGCATTGGGGATTTTTTTAAGCAATATTTACCCTAGATATTTTTTGCAATTTACTCCAAACTAACAAGAAAAATAAAACAGAAATAAGATCCCAGTTACCTGTGCACAGATAACATACCTTCTGAAGTGATTCCCAATCTGTTTTCTTTGCAAGAATTTAAGTTGATTTTTTTCAGTTGCTTGCAGTTATAAAGCTGCAATAATGCATTATCTGAAATATCACAGTCTCGGAGGTCTAGAGACTCTACAGTAGGGTGCAATACCTGGAACGAAAACCTACCATTTCAGTCAAACTCTGCTATGTCATAGAACATGCATATTTTTATCTAAAACACTTGTAAAAGTCAGACATCACGTAGAACTTGTAAAAAATATTTACTAGAGGATGGGGTTACCAATCCTGGGAACTAAAAACTCTAAAGAAAATATGGTGTATTTGCCACAACTGTTCATCTACAGCATGAATGTTCAGTTTCTGTGATTACATCTAGAATAGGAGCACACTAACATTACTATTTAAACAGTGGAAGTACTATTTTGATGGTACAGTTGCTAACACTAGTGCTTCTGCCAGCACATGTTTACCAAGGATAATACCCTCAAACTTATTGAAACAACTTTGAGAGCAGAAATCTGAAGTGTAAAAAAATACTGTGATCAAAACTTAAATCTCCTGAACAGATAAAGGTAATATTTGAAAGATATTTTGCCCCAGAGTATTTTTCTCATGTACACACACACACTCTTTTTCTTACAAGCAAGCAATCTCATTATACCATGAGGAGGTACCAAATCCTCATTAAATAGGCTCTGTCATTCCCACAAGACTATAGGTTGGAGTTTTTGTGACATTTTCCCCAAAAGGACATTTATGAAATTTAGACCCAACATAATGGAAGGCATCAGATTTTAGTAACAATAGCCATATATCTTACCTCTAATTTAAGTTTCAAAGATTCTCACTACTTTTTAATAAATACTGTTTATAGCCCCCTCTTGTGCAAACAATCTATACCTTTGCTAAGCTGTCCTTCAGATCAATAGACAAGTGTTTGATCAGGTTTTCACATTACCTTATATTACTCTCTTCCTTAACTCTCAAGGATAGAAGCATATGGTAAATTTTCATACACAAATAAAGATAACGGCATAGCTGACAGACTTCTTAAAGGCCTATTCCTTTCTCAGGTTCACCATTCTAACAGTTACAATAAAGATATTACAAGGAATGCTGTTTTTCTGTTTTGCAAATATGTAAGATGCTAAAATAAGCCTTTTGGAAAAAAAGCAAAAACTTCTAGTAGATTATAATTGCAACGTTTCTGCAAAATGAATGGCAGACCTCAGACAGTTTGACAGCTTGTTCTCTCCAAAAGCTAAAAGCTTCAAATATGTGTCTCTATGCCACAAACTCACCAACATATCCCACAATATGCTTGTGAGTAGTTTTCACAAGATAACATGCAGCTCTTATTTCACTCATATTTCTGAATTCATATCTAAGGAACTAAACCAGCCAAACCCAGAGATGACATGCCTAAAGCCAAGGTGACCACCAACATTTATTCAAGATTCTTTCCCTGACTGTCGGTCGCCTTTCACAATTCCAAATTGCCTAGGACACAACAGAAGTAAGCGAACTGCTGATTTTGAAGCCACATGAGAAATCTTATGAGAAAAGGAGCCATTAGATGCAAGCAAGTCTAAATGAGAAGCAACCATACTATCAGAATACTGCCTATTTAAAGTAGCTGGAGTATTAAGCTTCCCTAGCCTGTGATTCTTCACACACTCAGGTATTACAGAGGTTTGCTTTGTATTGTTATTCACAGATGCATATTCACTGAATGCATATAGTAAAATCGAATCTGTCTCGAAGAAGATGGAATTTTAGACAGAGTAAGTACTGTTTGGATGCAGAGTACAGGATATTAAAGTACAGACTTATATCATGTGGATACATGCAGAATGGCGTTATAGATCTTTATGGCAAGAGTGAGTTGGTATAAGGAGTTTAGCACATGTGTCATGTAAGGCTGCTCCGAGCAAAAAGCAGAGCAGGAAAAAAAAAAAAAAAGCAGCCTGATAACAGAAATCTGGGCAAGAACAGGGAGGTAAGAGATGAAATAGAAGTTTATACATAAGTGCAGGTTAACAGAATTTCAACTGGAAGAAATTTAATTTTAAGCAAAATGCTTAAACAACACCAAAGAAAGGACATGTATAAAAGCAAATGAGAGAGCACAGCCTGCCTAGAAAATTCCAAGAGAACAGATTTAGCCACAATACTGTAGAGACTATGAAAGAAAAGGGCAGGATGGAAGCAATAGCAAAGAAAAAAAATTTCCTTATCCATATCGAAGACTAATTGAGACATTGCAAATGTGTCACATTTAGAATACTTTGGTTATATATGGTATGAGCAAGAAATAGTAAGAAGAGCTAACCAACACAGGCCATACCTGGCAGATGAAAGAAGAGGAAAACTGAAGAGTGAAATGGTATGGAGAAATAGTGTGAATTCAGAATCCAAAAGCTGGCTAGCATTTTTTTAAAAAAATGCAAGTGAGAAAAACCTGGAAACTGTTAGCAAAGAAAGCTAAGGTATGATGTGCCCAAGAAAAGTGATGACAGCTAAGGACAGAATTGCAGGAAACTGCAGGAACAGAGAAAGGAAAAACACAAGAACCAGAACAGAATATCCCAGTGTCAGATGGAAAACAGGCTCCAAGAGAAGGCACTGATCAACTGTTGAACAACAAAGATAAGATTTTACAAAAAGACAGAGGAAAAGATTGCAACAAACTCTCTATTTCCAGACTAAATGTATCCTAAAAGGTTTGGTGCATTTATACACACACAATCGTATGGTTTTATTTACATATATCTCTTTGGATGCTTCCAAAGGATCACTTACTAAAAAGACAGCCTAAACCAAATTTTGTCAACTCAAATTTTCCAAAATAAGATAAATTAATAAGACTCTGATTTTTGCTCAAAGACTTATTTTGTACAATCAAAAACTGGTGCATACTAAAGATAAAATTTTTTGTTCATAAGTTTTCCACAGTACTTTCGATTCTGCCTCTAGGCTTGGCTTCCCTATTCTGACTCTGAGAAACTGATACTATTTGCCTCTTCCGAGTTACAGGTCAAAGTAGGAATGAGCAGCGAGTCATTCATTTTCTGTTTCACCAAGGCCAACCTTTAGCTTTCCTCAATTCTCAGGCCTCCCTTTAAGGTTGACCTCAATTCTCATGCCTCCTTTTAAGGCTAAACAAGATAACAGTAGATAGATACCAAAATAGATGTGCCCTTGAATTTACAGTTAAAGAAAAGTCATTAACTGGTTTCATTTTGAAACAATGACACACATCAGTGAGCAAAAGAGATGAGAGAATTTGAACTATCAATTTCTAGCCCTAGCATCATTGTATTTCAAAGAATCAAAATTTAAATAAATTATATTGAGATCATGTGCATAATATCAATAGAACATAACATAAATCTAACAGGTTCCTGAAATCTTTTCATTACTAAATTATGCACTAACTTCTTGAAACATACTACATTCAGGAACGGAGACTGGTTTGCAATAGAGTCTAGTTTCCCATACTGAAAAGGGATAATATATATGCCAACTGGTTATACAGAAGCCAATTATCAGTGAAGGGAAAACGTTTTGAATTTACTTATCACTCCAAATATAATCATATTACTACTAATACAGGACTACTAAAATTATGAAGTTTAAAGAAAAAAAACCTGTAAAGTCACTGACAGAGTAAGCAAGCCTGAATTTATCTGTTGTTGCATGTAAACAGTTTTAGTTTAGTTCATCTGTATGTATTAACTATCACAGACAGAACAGTTTTGAATGGGTTCTTACCTCACTGATATTTGAATCCGTTATTTGCCCTTGACTACTCATTAATTTAATCAGTTTATCCTTTATGTTGGGTGGCAATGACTTAATATCTGCAGTGTATCTGGAAAGGTTCTTTGTCAAACATTGAAGGCATCTGAAATAAAGGAAAGTTACAGTACGGTTAAAAATATGTATTACATATTAGGACCAGAACAATCAAGTCATAAGATGTTGGCTTCTGCATCAAGCTATGCTGCCTTCAAACCTTATCAGTTCCAGCTGTTCCATGCTACCACCAATTCAATTATTGCCCTTTGGGGTCAATCAGCTGATCCCTCTGTGGAAATGTTCCCCAATCAACTGCAGGCAAAAAATATAGCCTCATTCACTGCAATCACCAACCCAGCTCAGGAACTGAGTTTGCTGATCACAAGCTCTAAGAAAAGCCTTTTCACCAGCTAAGCCTCCACTTGGTAGGCAATAAAATATTTAGTTGGGACAGCTACTTCCAGAGAAGGGACATCTCTTTCACCTCAGTTAAAAACATTGAGGAGATATTTTCAGATGTAATATTTTGTTCACTGCCTAGTTTGTAGTACTCTTTAAATATGAATTGTAAGCCTGTGCTCAACCCTTTTAACCTTGTGCTTAAAACCAGATCTGATCACAGAGGATTGCCACCTCAGACAGAAATTTTTCTGTCTTAGTGGGGTCCAGGATATCACAGATCAACAAGTCTGTGGTCCTACAAAGCAGATTTGACACATGGAAAATGTAATATATAGGGGAATGTGAACCCACTTGGATATTTACACAGTATTCAAAAAGCCTCATCAGCAATAGTTCTTCAAGAAATTAAGCTGCTCTGGGATGAGAAAGAAAGTTCTCACACAGCTGGTTGAAATCCTATCACAATCAGAAACATTCACTGGTTTGACTCAGGATAGCCATTGGGTTTTTTAATAGCAATATTTTAGGCCGCCTTCCCCACCCCAAGCTTATCCATCAGAATGATTTATCAACATGAAGGAAACAGCCCGATTATCATATACACCCGGCTAGAGATTTTGAACTAAAAATAATGCCAACATACACTGCATTTTCTATACATCATAAACATCCTGCTCTCTGGACATCTTCTGTATTCGATGTCAAAATTGTTTCCCTGTTCTGAGCAATCTGTTTCCTTTGCCAGATACTGAAACTTGACTTCAAGTTTCCATCATGACATACTGCTACATGAGAAATTACAAACAAATCTCAAAAATAGACAGGGCTTAAGTATTCACCTGAAAAGGAAAGTCTAGGCAGAAATAAATATTAATAGGTCTACTAATATCACAGAATGCTGGGTGATGCTTTAAGACAGGATTTGAAATCCTAGAATTTTACCTGTGTGAATGCAACAAAAAGGGATCATTTCAGGAAGAATACGTCATTAAGAGACTCTAGATTGAAGAGGGCTTTTTGGGAGACAACATGAAGAACTTTACTTAAGCTTAATAAAACAGAGAGATCAGTATTATCCAGATGTATGTGGAATAGTACCCAGGTGGAACACTTGAAATAATGGTTTTCAAGGTCAAACATACAGAAGAGTATTTACTTATGCAATATTGAGTACTATAAAGGGACACTAATCATACAATCTTTTTTTTTTTTTTTTTTTTAAGATTCCTAAGGCATTTTAATGTATCATAGGATACATTAAAATGTTAATGTCCCAACCTCTGCAACTTTAAATTAACACTCCCAGGCTTACTGAAACACCAGAGGCAACTCCAGGAAGAGTTTATGAATAGCTTCTAAGCATCCTGAGCATCCTGACCTTCAGAGCAATCACCAATCATTAATATGCTAAGAGACAACTGCTGGTCCTTAAGGAAGGAGTTGCAATTCTCTCAAGGGAGATTTTATTATCTAAAAACAAAGTCCCTAGGTAAATTAGGAACATAAACTAGAGTGAAGCTAACCAACATCCAGAGATAACTGAAAAGGTAACACTCTGTCATCTAGGAAATGACAAGACTTTAAAAAGGATTACACTACAGCAAAACTAAAATGGAGGGAGTTGAAATGGGACTCCTCACTGTCCCCCTCTTGCTTAGAAACCTAACATGAGTCCATATAAGTGATAGCCTTGAATTGGAGGTTCTATTATCTATTGATCACAGCCACCTGAATTAGATTCCCTAGGCCAACTTTTCTTTTTCAATCCTATCCAAAATTTCGAAAGAAAATATTTCTGTCCTACAAAACATTTTGCTTTTGTAGAATCAACATTTTTCCATTAACTCAGACTACTAATAAACTCTGAGCAGCTACTGCAATTGCACAGTAACTCTCTCTACTGTAGCTGGCCTCTATACTTCTATGATCTGGCTACACACAGCAATAACTAAGATTGGTAAGTAAAGAGTATCATGCATTCACCTGGCAGACAGATTTTGTCCCAGTCTAACTTAATGAAAGAAGCCATGAATCCTGATTTCATGGACAGGAAAAAACTGAGTAGTGCTTTACTCCTCTAATGACCTGATAAAAGACAATTCCTTCTTGCACAATGCCAAGCTGCTTTTTCCCTGCTCCACATTATCAGACTAGTTACACCAGCTGTTTGTAGTTCAGAGTTGTCTATAAAGTGTCAAATGGCATACTCATTTGTTCCAAATGTTTCAAGAGGTACAGAACAGAAAAGGCCTATGATCTTTAACCTTAAGCTTTATGACAGGGTTAAGGCCTTACGATGGTGTTAATCCTGGACGTGCCCCCAAAAACTGTTACCGCTCAAATGGCAATAAAAACTTTCCAAACAGAAATGCAGTTTAGAAAGCCAACATTGGTTTATTCAGCACTGGGTGCATGGGGGATCTCTCCTCCTAACTGCCCACCTAGTCTTCAATCCCTTACACATTTATACCCTTAGGTTACAAAATTTCACTTACATCACTACAAAATTACATTTACATCACATAGTTACCTTGTTGTGATTGGTAAAGAGCTTTCTCACTTTGGTTGAAAGCTATAGACTTAAAGAAATTCAGAGAGCACGCCCAGTGAGGGGTGGTCGTACCTCGAAGGCAGGTAGCTTTTAGCATGGAGGCGTGTTTTGATATTATAATTACACTATAATGAACAAAGTACAGTCAAAGGACATTATTTTCACAGAAAATAAAACATTACTTGCATCCACTGCCAACTATATGCTTTATCTATTCTATCGTTCATGTCAGGTTGGGACTATACAATTGATATAATTAGCAGCCACAAACTGGTTAGCAACATCAAATGAAACACAATCACCCAACCATCACCATACCATTCTGCTCAGCACGTTCCCTTCCAATGACCATGATTACCCATTCAGTTACAACGGGACAAATGTGTGTATTTCCAATACATAAAACAGAAATTAGATCTTTATGACTAATTATTCTACAAATAGCTTAACTTAGATCAAGAATATAAGACATAACTTGAGAGAAAGAAAAAAAAAATAAAAAAGAATGTTTCTAAATATTTCCAATATCATGTTCCTCTGCATGTAACCTTTGGATTGCTAATTTCTCTTTTGGGACATGGGGCAAAGGCTCACAAGTGGCAGACAAGCAACAGATACCATCAAGCAGCATAAACACCTTAATAAATGCACTTTCTGTTAGGTTTGGAGATCTTAAAAATAATGATCTTATTAAAAGGACTACTCCACAGACTAATAGATTTGTTTCAGTTTTTAGTTTCTGCTGTAAGTTCTGCTAGTTAAACAATAAGCCTAACCTTCTTACTTATGCTAACCCTTAAAGCGCAGCCTGGCACAAACAGATGGCTATCACCTGATTGGGGTAAGACAAGAAACAATACACTAAAATTATACACATTTATTTAAAAGTTGTGTAATTGTTGGTTTCAAGTATTAGTCATACTGGTATAATAATTATATTGTTACATTAATATAGAAAATTGCTGCAGCAGTACTAATAAAGTAATGTAAAAAAATACTAGTAACCAATCAAAATGTTTGTTTATGGTATCAAGCACTACAGTACACGTAAAGAGAAATTACTAGGTCTAAGGTCAATCATGAGAACATATCCATGTAGTGTAATGCATGTCTTAAACATAATTTTAACAGATTAATCATGCACAACAAAAAAAAAATATGGGTACTGTTTTAGCTTTGCAAAAGGAAAAAAGTTACTAGAAAGACAGAACTCTTGTGATTAATTTCTATTAGCAGTCCAGCTGTCATCACACACCACTCTAACCAAATGTAACATCCAAACAGAGGTTGAAAAGACTAGCTCCACTCCTCTTGTCTCCCCAACCACTTTTTTCTACACCTTCCTCATGCTGGCTCTGAAATTCACAGTTGCACAGCGAGCTGTTCAGCATGTGATCTGAATGAAAATTCCCATGACTGAAACTGTGAGGTGACAGAAATAATAACACCAAAACAAGTGGCTGAGGGCAGGGGGCAGCAGTAGCCTAGAGTTAAGCCAAATTCGATTTAGCAAATAGCCACAGCTCTGGAGTCCCTTATAGAAAACTTTTTTGCAACAGAACCTTGCTTGGCACCAGAATGCCACCAAATCACAGCAAATTAAACTCACACCAATTAAAAACTCTAGGGAAGTCGAAATACTGAGGCTCTATAATCTGAAGTGTAGCACAGATTTAAACAAGGAAAGAAGTAACATTTCCAGTGTGGAAGCACATTAAAGACCCACTAAAGTTAGCACAGTGTAATGAGGGCACCTGTGGCAGGTCACTGCAGAAGACACTGCAATGAAGAGACAGTGATTTCAAGCAAAATCCGGGCAGAGTTTAACCACAGGCCTTGGTTGCAGAGACCCGTATGTTAGCATGAGCGACTATTACATAACCTGAGCATACATCACAGCTGCCTTTAACTCATTCTCCTGCAGACATGTAAGAACGAAATGCCTTCACCTAACCTCAGTGACTGCTGGATGACTGTAACAGAGAAGCCTGTACACGGCTCTGACTCAGTACAAGTAGATTACACTACCCACATTCTTTGTCTAGTCTTGAGGTTAATCAGCATATCTACATGTAACATTCCTTTACTGGACCGCAGAAATGAAGACTAGTTGTTTACTTCCAAAAAAATCTTATCAAAATTCTAA